CCAACCAGCCAGGGCTTCAGCAATGTTTTATAGTTTTAGTGTACAAGTCTTACCTCCTCGGTTAGGCATGTCCCTACGTTTTTTATTCTTTTTTATGTTATTATAAATTGAATTGTTCTCTTAATTCCCTTTTGGATTATTTCTTATTAATGTATAGAAATTTAAATGATTTTGCTGTGTTAATTTTATATCCTTCAACTTTGCTGAATTTGCTTATTAGTTCTTACTGGGGTTTTTTGTATAATCTTTAGGGATTTCTACTTATAAAAGCATGTCATCTGTGAACAAAGATAATTTTACTTCCGTTCAAATTTTGATGCCTTTTATTTATTTTTTCTTGCCTAATTGCTCTGGCTAGAACTTCCAACACTATGTTGAACAGGAGAGCAGGCATCCTTGCCTTGTTCCTAATCTTTGAAAGAAAGATTTCTATCTTTCACCACTGTGTATGATATAGCTTTGGACTTTTCATAAATTGCTTCTCCTGAGATAGTTCCCTTGTATTCCTAGCCTATTGAATCTTTTTAATTATGAAAGAGGATTGAATCTTGCCCTGGCCAGGTGGCTCAGTTGGTTGGAGCATCATCCCATACACCAAAAGATTACAGGTTCGATTCCCAGTCAGGACACATACCTAGATTGTGGGTTCAATGCCCCATTCAGGGCACATATAAGAGGCAACCAAGTCTGGCTGGTGTGGCTCATTGGTTGAGCATCAACCCATGCACCAAGAGATCACCAATTCGATTCCCAGTCAGGACACATGCCCAGGTTGTGAGCCCGATCCCCAGTGTGGGGCATGCTGGAGGCGGCCAGTCTATGTTCTCTCTCATCAATGTTTTTATCACTCTCTCCCTCTCTTTTCCTCTCTCTCTAAAATCAATAAAGGGAAAAAAAATTTTTTTAAAAGAGGCAACCAATCATTGTTTCTTTATCACATCAATGTTTCTCTCTCTCTCTCTCTCTCTCTCAAATCAGTCAAAATGTATCCTTAGGTGAGGATTTTTTTAAAAAGCATCGAGTCTTGACAAATACTTTTTTCTATATCAACTGAGATATTTATGTGCTTTTGTCCTTTATTCTGTTAATATGGTGTATTATAGTGATTGATTTTCTTATGTAGAACCATTGTTGCATTTGAGGCATACATCTCACTTGGTTTAATCTTTTTAATATGTTCTTGAATTCTGTTTGCAAGTATTGGTATTTTTTAGGATTTTTGCATCAATATTCATCAGGGATATTAGTCTGTAGTTTTCTTATAATGTCTTTATCTAGCTTTGGTATCAGGTTAATGATACTCATTGTATGAGTTAGAAAGTGTGCCTTCATCTTCAGTTTTTTGGAAGAGCTTCAGGAAATTGGTGTTAATTCTTTAAAATTTGTTGTTGTTGTTGTTAATCCTCACCCGAGGATATTTTTTCCAATGATTTTTAGAGAGAGTGGCAGGGATAGGGGAAGGGAATAGAGAGAGAGAGAGAGAGAGAGAGAAAGTGAAACATCATGTGAGAGAGACACATCAATTGGCTGCCTCCCGCACGTGCCCTGACCAGGCCAGGGATTGAACCTTGGACCCAGGTAGGTGCCCTTGACTGGGAATCAGTCCTGTGACTCTTTGGTGCAAGGGCTGACACTAACCATTCAGCCAGTGCCAGCCAGGGCAATTCTTTATTTGATGGAATTCTCCAGAGAATCCATCTGGTCTTCAGCTTTCCAGTGTTTAGAGATTTTTCATTATTGATTCAATACCCTTACTCATTATTGTCCAGATTTTATATTTCTTCATAATTCAGTCTTGGTAGGTTGTGTGTTTCTAGAAATATATCTATTTCTAGATATATTTCGAGTGGCTGCCACCTGCACGACCAACCAGGGCCGGGGACAAACTGCAACCGAGGTACATGCCCTCAGCGGGAACCGAACCCAGGTCTCTCCGGACTGCAGGCGGACGCTCCAACCGCTGAGCCAAACCGGCCAGGGCACTTGTTGGTTTTTTAAATATTGATTTTCTATTCTCTATTTCATTTATGCTCTAGTTTTTATTATCTCTTTCATTCTGCTACCTTTGGGTTTAGTTTGCTCTTTTCTAGTTTCTTGGGGTGTAAAAGTTAGTTTGTTCATTTGAGGTTTTTTTTTACCTTGTTTTTTGAAAAATGTATCTTTATTGTTGAAAATATTACAGATGTCCCTCCTTTTTCCCCCCCACTGACTCCCCTTCTCCCCACTCCTGTCCCCCCCCCCCATCTTCCCCACACTATTGTCTGTAGCCATTGGTTATGCATATATGAATATAACTTCTTTGGTTTATTCCTGTCCTCCTGCCCCCCCTTCCCTCTGAGGTTTGTCAGTTTGTTCTCTGTTTCCATGTTTCTGGACCTATTGATTTATTTCAGAGAGAGAGAAAAAGAGAGAGCGAAAGAAACATTGATTTGTTGTTCTACTTATTTATGCATTCATTGGTTGCTCCTGGTATGTACCCTGACCAGAGATCGAACCTGAAACCTTGGTGTATCGGGTCGACGCTCTAGCCAGCTGAGCTACCCTTACCCTGACAGGGCTGAGATCTTTTTTCAATGTACTCATTTACATCTATAAAGTTCCCTCGTAGCATTGCTTTGGCTGTAACCCATAAGTTTTGGTATGTTGTGTTTTCATGTTCATTTGTCTCAATGTATTTTCTAATTTCTCTTGTGACTTTTTTGATCCATTTTTTAATTTGCACATATTTGTGGGTTTTCAGTTTTCTTTGTGCTATGGATTTCTAGTTTCATTCCATTGTGATAAAAAAAAAAAAAAAAAAAAGATACTTTGTATGATTTGATCTTCTTGACTTTGTTAAGACTTGTGGCCTAACATTTGGTCTATCCTAGGGAATGGTCCATGTGCACTTGAGAAGAATGCACGTTCTACTGTTGTTGGGTGAAGTATTCATAAAGTTTGTTATGTCTACTTGGTCTATATGTTGTTTAATTCCTCCAATTCCGTTTTTATTTTTTTTTTGTCCGATTGTTTTCTCCATTATGGAAAGTGGGTGTAGTGAAGTCTCCTACATTATTGTGTTGCTCTCTATTTTTTCCTTCATTTTTGCTTCATATATTTAGGAGCTCTGAAATTTGGTACATAAATATTTACAGTTGTTCTATCTTCCTTTTTTTCATTATATAGTGCCCTTCTTTGTCTCTAATAACAGTTTTTTATTTAAAATCTATACTGACTAATATAGCCATTCCCGGCTACCATTTGTATTACCATCACCTTTTGCATCTTTATTGGTTGTCATTTGCATGGAATATCTTTTTCCATCCTTTCATGTTCAGTCTATGTATGCCCTTAAATCTAAAGTGAGTCTTGTAGCTCTGGCCAGTTTGGCTCAGCAGTTAGAGCGTCGGCCTGAGGTCCAGAGAGACCCGGGTTCGGTTCCCGCTAAGGGCATGTACCTCGGTTACAGTTTGTCCCCGGCCCTGGTTGGGTCGTGTGGGTGGCAGCCACTCAATGTGTCCCTTTCACGTCGATGTTTCCCTCTCTCTATCTCTTTCTCTCTCTCTCCCTCTCTCCCCCTCCCACTCTGTCTGAACAAAAAATGGAAAATGTCCTTGGGTGAGGATAAAAATAATGATAATAATAATAAAGTGGGTCTTGTGGATGGCATAGTGTCCCATACGTCCTTTATGCTATCTTCACCTTTTTTCTTTTTTCTCCTCTAACTCAGTAACTTCAAATGACTTGTTTTTGAGTTTGTTTATTCTTTCTCCTGCCTGATCAAGTAGGCTGTTGAAATTTTTTAGTTCAGTTATTGTATTTTTCAGCTCCATAATTTGTTTGCTTGTTTTTTATAGTTTCCATCTTGGTCACTATTCTCATTTTGTTCATGTGTGATTTAGTTGTCTCTCTGTATTCGCTTTCAGCTCCTTGAGCATCTCTGCGTTATGACAGTATGACAGTTATTTTGAATTCTTCATCAGGCAGTCCATAGGTTGCATTTCTTTAAGATCATTTCTGGATTTTCATTTTGTTCCTTTGATTGTGTCTGTTTCCCTGTTTCTGTGTATGCCCTGTACTTTTTTTTTTCCCCCTGGAATTTGGGCATTTGAAAAAGCCACCCCACCCAGGCTTTGCATACGAGCTCTGTGCAGGGGAAGAAGACTGCTAGGACTGGACCTCTCAAACCTTTTTGAATATCTTTCTCCCCCTGGTGTCTGCCCACAGAACTGCAGCTCTGACATGCTGCTCACCCCTGTTTTCAACAACTGCCAAACTGTAGTATGGATCCCATCAGTGCTCTGATTGAGACAAGACAGAAACCATTTCCTCCTGCAGCCGCCAGACAAGCGAGAATATTGGACACACAATTCACTGTTTTGTTTCCATCTCAAGGGAGCAGCCCCAGCATGGGGTTTTCCTCCCAGTTACTCTGCTGCTATTCTCTGTAGAGGGAGAGACATAAATAGGCACATCCAATGCCAGGAATTTTCCTACCCCTTATCCTGGACTCCCCTCTCGTTTGTACAATGGCTTCGGTGCAGTGGCTTCTCAGCTGGTCGGTGGAGTTGTAACAGAAGTGTTCTGGTCTATCTGTTGTTAATTTGCTGTTATCTGTGGAGGAGGAAGGGTTGTTGCTTCTGAGTCTGCCATATTGCCAACGTCACGCTCCTTTTGTTTTTTGTTCTTTTAGCTCACAGGTCATACAAAACCAGGCAGTGAGTGTGCAGGATTTGGCCTGAAATATTGTCACTTCTCTACCACTCTATTAACTTCTTTACCTGTAAGCCAGAATTGTTTCAGTGACCAAATATACATAGGTTTTCAACTGCTTCCTTCAGAGATGATCATCGTGTTCATCATAAATCGCTTGTTCTTTGTTTTTATTTAAATCGACAAAGATCTTGTTTTACGTTTATTACTCTTTTCCCCTTTTTCCTTTCCATGTACCAGAAGCATAGAGATGAAGGACATGTGCGGTACAAATGCCTGGGTGCTGACTGCCGCTGCCTTGTTCACAGGTGTTGCGGAAGGCCTGCCGGAGGTGAAGCCCCCGCGCCCCGGGAACGGGGTGCAGCTCGACTCGGGAGAAACGGAAATACTCAGGAAAGCAGTCGAGGACTATTTCTGCTTTTGTTACGGTAAAGTGCACTTGAAGCATTAATTCTCTGACTAGTTCACTACAGAGCGGGACAGTGTTAGATCATCTTATTGGTGTGACTATTTAGAAGGTTTCTGACATCTGAAAATCCATTCTCATCGAGTGAAGAGCTAGTCCTTGAGTACCAGATGAAGTTCCCTTAAAGTACACAACTTGGTTTCCTCTGGTCCGTTGAAACCTCTGGATTGATCTTTCTTTGGGTTTCAATCTTTGCTCCCATTTTAGGGAGCCCCCCACTTGTCCCCACTCCCTGGCCATCCCAGTTACTAAAGATTTTTATTGCTGCTTTGGTCGCCTCATCTGTCTCTCCACCTACCCACATCTTTCCACAGGCATTCAGACGGGTTTTTTAAATACCTACATAGTGTTTTAAAGAGCTAGATAACCGAATAACTATACCAGTATTATATTTAATTGTGATATAAGCACCTTAGCATCTTAGGGCCTTGTTTATCATTCTTACACAGCTGCACATATATATGTGACCTGCAAGTCCCTGTGAGCATTTGACTTTGGGGACCCCCCAGCACAAGGGACCCCGGGATCTCAGGCTACACTTATCTGTGAGAAATGGGGCTCCATCACCTCTCGGCTGGCCAGTCAGTGCAGAAAGACACAGCCCCAGAGGGTGACATGAAGCCACTGTTGACTTCATAAGTTCTCCACAGGCAAGTTGGCCTGACTTGTTTGGTGTGACATAGGGCAGTTAAACTTTTTTAAAGTTTTATTTTATTGATTTAGAAAGAGAAACATCAACTTGTTCCACCCATTGATGCATTCCTTGGTTGATGCATGTGCCCTAACCGAGTCCGCAACCTTGGCATGTTGGGACAGTGCTCCAGCCAACTGAGCCACCCAGCCAGGGCCAGTGACAGTTGAGCTCTGAGTGGAGGCTCTGTGCTCTGTTGGCAGCAGCCTGAGTATGCCAGGGCAAGGACCCCAAATTGTACAACGTCGAAGAGAATGGAGGAAAAGACTTACTATTTTCTTTCTTATGTGAAGGTTTAAAGTAAATATTATAAATTTTTTTAGATTTTTTTTCTTTATTGTTGAGAGTATTACAGATGTTCTCCCCCCTTTAATTCCCCCCATAATATTATAATTTTTTTTTTATTTTGGCCCCTTGGTTGGGAATTTTTCTAACTTAGGATGTAGGATACCTTATGTTTCTAATGTATCTTCAAAGCCAGATGTCACCACCTATGTTTATTACACTAAATGAAACTGAGTGGTAGGGTTTTACACTTATATCATTTATTTTTATTTTTTAAATATTTTTTCTTTATTGATTTTAGAGAGAGAGGAAGGGAGAGGGAGAGATAGAAACATTGATGAGAGAGAACATCGATTGGCCGCCTCCTGCATGCCCCCCACTGGGGATCGGGCCCACAACCTGGGCATGTGCCCTGACCAGGAATCAAACCAGCAACCTCCTGGTACATGGGTCGATGCTCAACCACTGAGCCACACTTGCCAGGCTACACTCAAACCGTTTAAAGTCTGCCTTGCCTCTTCTTCTAGGTAAAGCGTTAGGAACAACAGCAGTGGTGCCTGTTCCGTACGAGAAGATGCTACGAGATCAGTCAGCTGTGGTAGTGCAGGGGCTTCCAGAGGGAGTTGCCTTTCAGCACCCACAGAACTATGATCTTGCAACTCTGAAATGGATTTTGGAGAACAAAGCGGGGATTTCATTCATCATAAACAGGTGACAGGTGCTATCCCATCATAACAGTATATTTGAAGATAAACAGCTTAATTTCAATTAGTTAATGTCCTATTATATTCAGAAATTGGTTATTCAGATGTTTAATTTGACGTTCTTGTGTGTTCACGCTGAGTAATAATGTTGCTTTTCTTGCAGACCTTTCCGAAGTCCAGCACATCAGCAAAGTAAGTGACAGCCTCTCATACTTAGTGACTGCTCTTGGCTGCTGAACCAGTTCCGCTATTCTAATTAAAATGCAGGGCTGGCACACCCTAAGGCTTGTTCATCTTCGCCCTCTCCTGATTGAGGCACTCTCTGACATTCAGGGTGGGTGGCCATGATGTTTGTGTGGTATACAGCTCAGGGAAAGACATACCCCGCCTAGAGCTGAGACACCACTGGCCCCGCTCACTCGCCAGTGAGTTTCTGCTCCCAGACCACTGACAGCAGTAGACCTACCTTGTCCTTGTACACTGGAGTGAGGATTCTGGGGTCACCTCCTCGTCTTTGACCACCAGCCAGAGGCCAGTTGATGGGTTTAGGAGTAGGTCTAGGATGTGTGACTGTTCCCATGCTTCTGAAACTCAGTCCAGGGGAAGGAATGAGACTGTCCAGCAGGTAACCAGGTGTGGCCCGAGCTCTCAGAATGGCTGGAGGAAATCCATGAGAGTCCCTGCAAAGCGGTTCAGATTGTGTGGTTGGAAGGGCTTCAGGGAGGAGTGGGCCCTCAAGATAAGCAGGGAGCCAGCAGGAAGCCCATGCCACGTGATCAGACAGAAACCTGTGTGGAAGGGTGTTTGAGGCCACATTTGGGAACCAATGACCCCTTATAATCTCCTGGACTTAGGACTCTGAAGAGACCCCCCCCCCCCAAAAAAAGTAATTTACTAGAAGTGTTCAGAGATCCACCTATGACTACTTCCTATTTTCTCAGATTATTATTCTGAATATAATTGGAAACCACAGCTGCATAGGAGAGATCAGGTCTAAGGAGGGTGTCATACTGAGACTGCATACGTAGAGATGGCCCAGGGGGCAGAGGATGGGGTGCACACAGTTCACAGGGCACAACGTGGGGTACAGAGGGCAACGTGACACGCCCTAGGTCTTCTGAGCACAGACTACTCGCAGAGCAAAGTCTGTTCTGGAAGGATTGTGAGCTCCTGGCCTCCTCCAGCTCGCTTTAAAGGAGGGACTTGAAGGTGAGGGTGGCAGGTGACAGGTGACTATTGTGCCAGAAGACTTGTATTTTCATTAGAGAATAATAATAATAATAGCAGCCGACACTTATTTTGTGCTTACTGTGTACCAGGCACTATTCGAAGCTCTTCACATGTATTAATTCTCACCTAACCACCATTTTTAGATGAGGAAACTGAGGCACGGGTGGTTTAATAAATCGCTAGAGGTCACCCAGCTGGTGAGCAGCAACGTGGGAGTCACACCTGCGCTCCAGCCCCAGGCTGCTCCTCGGCCCCCTTTCGGCCCACACAAATGGCCCAGATCATGGGGCCAAGGTTGAGATGGTCTCTCCCCCCACTGCTGTTCCATGATGACTTAGAGATGGGAGTTCTGTTCTCCCTGTATTTGCTTTCACTTGATCTGCCTTTGAATGCTGTCATATTTCAAAACGAGGAAAGGGCTAGTGTGTGTCTTTCTACTCCTGCGCAGGTGGGCCTGGAATCGTAACAGATGCTGAGAGATCAGTGACATCGCCACGTGAAAGGTGAGGGATAGATAGAAAACACAACCCATACCCAGCCCCAAAGTGTTACTTTTTAGACTAGAAAGTCTTCCTTATCTTGTTCCACAGCTGATTCTTGAGCAGCATGGGTTTGAACCACGCAGCTCCTCTTACACCGGTAGCGGACCAGCGCAGTGTAGGCCTGTGTTGCTCAGGGTCACCTGTACTTCTAGTCCACAGCTGGGAACACACGTATGTGGAGGGCTGGCATATATTATATTCAGATTTTCCACTATGTAGTGGATTGGTACCCCTAACCCCCAAGTGTCCAAGGGTCAGCTGTATATTCTTTTTTTTTAATTTAATATTTTTTCTTTATTGATTTTAGAGAGAGAGGAAGGGAGAAGGAGAGAGAGCTAGAAATATGGATGAGAGAGAATATCGATTGGCCTCCTCCTGCATGCCCCCCACTGGGGACTGGGCCCACAACCTGGGCTGTGCCCTGACCAGGAATCAAATGGCAACCTCTTGGTACACGGGTCGACGCTCAACCACTGAGCCTCACCAACTAGGCAACAGCTGTATATTCTTTATTCAAAAAGATGTTTGGGATTATAAGGCTAGATGCAGTTGACGCCTTTAATCTTGTAACACATCATTAAGAACGGTAATGGTAAAGTTGTGGCAGTTTTGCTGTTTGTCCTGCGGAGGGGAATTTGACAGCACGGAAATCTGGAGAAATGGAGTTCAGTGTCCACATACCCGTGTTCAGCTTCCGCCCTGCCCGCCGTGACCAGGTCCCTTCTCCTTGCAGTTGCAGCCTCATCCGTGTGAAAGCCGAGCCCATGGAAGACTCTGGTATGTACCTGTGCTTGTAGAATCCGGTAGTTAGCACGTTATCATTTGACGTCCTTCTTTTGTTTTACTTAAAAAAATGGGACTCTAAATAAACTAAGAATAGAGGGGAACTTTCTCCACTTGATTTTAAAAATTTACTAAAATATACAGCTAACATTATACTCAGTGGTGAGAAACTACAATCTTTCCCCCCAAATTCAGGAACAAGATAAGGCTACACCCTCTCCCCACTTCTTTTCAACTTCATACCAGAAGTCTGAGGTAATGCAGTAAGAAAAGGAAATAAAAGGTATACCAATTGGGAAGGAAGAAATAAAACTGTTTGTTCACAGATGACATGATTGTCTATGCAGAAAATCTGAGTCAACCAAAATATGAGGGCACTAACTTCAAATGGGACCTTATTTGAAGAATAATCATAATTTATTCAAATATCTAGAAAATAACCTTCTCATTCAGTAAATACTAAGTACCTGATCTTATTAAGTAGATATATTTGTGCACAAGATATTATTTTAATTATATTTAAATTAGGACCTGACTGGGAAATGAGTAAAAGGTCTTGAGCACACATTTGAAACTAAAATTGATTTACAAATGGAGCAGTGTGTTCATTTTGGACATGTTTTACTGCTTTCTTGCACTCTTCCATCATTTCTAAATGTTATACAATGAACATGCATTACTAAGACAATGTATATTAGGAAAAAAATCCCTCTTCAGTGGATGAGAGTAGTTTATCTCCATCCCTGCCTCTCCCCAGTCCTCAAAAAAGAAAAATGGGCCCTGGCCTGTTTGGCTCAGCGATTAGAGCATCAGCCCACGGACCAGAGAGTCACGGGTTTGGTTCCCGTTAAGGGCACGTACCTCGGCTGCAGTTTGTCCCCGCCCCAGTTGGGGTCGTGTGGGTGGCAACCACTCTGACGTCGATGTTTCTCCCCCCCCTTTCTCCCACTCTTTCTGAAGAAAATGCGAAAACGTCCTCGGGTCAGGATTAAAAAAAGAAAAGAAAAATGGCATTGATTGGATGGAAAATGTTAAAAAGTTAAAATTAGAATTTTTTAATAACTCAGCTGTTTAATCAAGAGATGGGAAAATATTGACAGTATTAAAAGTGGAAAGGTCAGAAAACCCAAAATAGTCAAGTACATAAAATTCAGACCTCAAAAAATTAAAAATGAACACAAGCTAGTTATAAAAGATTAAAACTAGAATTTAATAATGCTCACAAAAGCAACCTAGAATATGAAATAAACAGTTTTTTAAATGTAAAGTTAAAATCAAATCTAAGATAATCCAAAAGAAAAACAATACTCAATACTAAGAAGAAAAGATGTAGAAAAAGGGAAAAGAGACTTCGAGGAGAACTGAAGGCGGAGCACCAGCGCCGGAAAGCCGTCCAGGTGTGGTTTATCCTCAGCAGCCCCCCCAGTCACTGGGGAGCCTGGACCTGAGTGGACCAGTCTCTTTGCCACACCCAAGGGTCCCCAACTACAGCTGCAGGTGCTTGTGTCCCTCCCAGCCACAGGTAAATACGTGCTTAGTAGAAGTTCCACCTTCAGTGACAGAGTCTGAAAACAGTGACGCTCACCCATCTTAGTTATTGTAGGTAAAACCAACACGAGTCAATGAAAAGAAACGAGCCACGGGTCTCAGCTGAGCAGAATTCAGCTGTGGGGTCTTCATCTCTCATACATGACATGTCTTCAACTCTTGCCCGTTTAATCTTAGCCTTGGGCGCTTTTCAAAGTTCAGATATGTTCCTCTTGCAGTCCCCTCTTAGAAGGATGACAAGTGGGGCCAGAGGGAGTTGTCAGCTCTCCCCAAGGGCCCTTTCATGGATCCAAACCCAAACCTCCCCTCGCCTTTCTCACCAGCTGCTGGGCCCAGTGAGCATTTCCCTCCCACTTTAAAATAGGCCTCTTGTTGAGGCCTTTCTTTGGAGATGTGGTTCTGTTTAAACAAAAATATGCTCCCTGTTAATGAGTTCTGTGGACTTGATGATGCAATACAAATTGCTTCCAGCCGCCTGCAGGCTTCTGCGAGTGGCCGCCAATCAGCCTTATTTCTCATCGTATTTGTGTAGCACTCGTTACGCAGAACAAATGTTTAATGGTTTTGAATTTGAATTCCTTTCTCGGGTCTCTCCCTTTTCCTTCTCTTCCTCCCTCTGTCTCTTTAATTTGAGGAAAAACTGCAATAAATCTGTTTTCATTAGCATTTCAAACAAACTCTACCCTGTGAAGTCTGGTTTCAATTGCCTGGATTAAAGAGGAATTTTTCCTTGACAGCTGTGACATGTTTATCAGATGTTTCTGTTAGTAGAGTCTTTAGGGCCTAATCAACTTGGAATGTGTACTTTAATTAGAATTTTACTATAAAATATTACAGGAGTCATACATGTTTAAATTTTTACAAACTCAGACTTATAAGTAGTAATAAAGAATCCCTCCTCACCCTTTCACTTTCTCCTCTAAAGCTCCATCCCCCTAAGCCTCCCGCACACCTCAAACCCCTTCCCCATGTAAGGGCAACAACTTAAAACCAATTGGTGAAAATTCAGATCACAAATAAACACATAAATAGTATTTTTCCTTTTTATGCATAAGTTGATCTCCATTTGTTAACTTTCATTTTTCTATAATATTACCTTTTTGTCCCATTTCTGAGCAAATTCCTTAACTTAATCTACCATTTTACAAATATGGCCACCAGCCATATTCATTCTGTTCCTCGGTTGTTCTATCAAATGTTCCTTCTTGATAATCACATTTTAAATATTCAGTCTCTCTGTTCTTATACCGACAGCTGTTAATTTTCAGAAGACCCCTCAGAACTTGTAAATTAATGCTAAACAGTGAATTCCAAGCTGTGCCACAATTTTTGCTTTTGATGTTACTAACATTTATGGTAAAATTACATGTATACTTTAGTAGCAGTTATCTATTGCTGTATTAGAAGTCACCAGAACTTAGTGGCTCCGTGATTCTGTTCTCTCACAGTTCTGTGTGTTGGCTGGGCATTGCTTGGCTGCCTGGCCTGGGAGGCCTCGCTCCTGGGTCTGCCGCTGGAGCCAGGAGAGCTGGGCCCACTGCTCACAGCCTCCAGGAGGCGAGCTCGGAGGCACACCGGTTCAAGACTCTGCTTTTGTCCCATTGGCCAAAGCAAGTCACATGGCCAGGCCCAGCTAGAAAGGGTGGAGAAGTAGGCCTTATTTCTAGAAAATAGGAATAGGCAAGTCACATCACAAACAGGTGTGATACAGGATGGGCGAATATTGTGGCTAATTTTTGCAATCTACCACACCTTTCCCTGATAAGGGCTTTTGGTTTTACTATGTAGTTTACCCAGGTTTTCAAGTTCGTTCCATGGTAGTGGGTCAAGATTATATGTGCCACCCTGGCCGTGTGGTTCAATGGTTAAAGCGTTGCCCGCCCATGCACCAAAGGGTCCTGGGTTCAATTTCCGGTCAAGGGCATGTATCTGGGTTGCAGGTTTGATCCCCAGCCTGGTCCAGGTACATGCAGGAGACAACCAATCAATGTGTCTCTCTTGCATCAATATAGGTCCCATTACAGAAGAATATTTACATATTTCATATTAAATGCACATATATATTCAGCCATCTTAAAAGGAGACGTTTCCCCAAACTGGGATCTAGATCTATTTCTCTTCCCATCTTGTCCTCCCTCCATTTCTTCTTTCATCCTTCTCTCTCTCCTTTCCTTTTGTGTTAATTTTATATTATTTTATTTTTATGTTATTTATATTTTTATTCAGATAAGCCATTTGTTCATAGTGAGTGAGCTACAAGTTCTTTCGTTGATTATAATATTGCTGTGTTAATGAAAACAGAACCTGGAAGTTCTGTCAGCTGGTCACCTTTCTGTGTTGGTGGGTTTGGGCCTGACGTGTAATTCTGTAATTTCCATTGCATTCAAAGGCGTTTCACTGAAAGCAGCCGCTGTGTCAGTCAAGAAAGAAGCAGAGGACCCTAATTACTATTGCTATAATATGCAAGGTAATACTGTTTTATAGTCATTTTTTCCTCCCAAAGTTATTCATGATGAAAAGTTTTAATTACCACCCATCCGAAACACAGGCAAAGACTAATAAAGATCCATGCACGTTTACTTATGCTCTCGCATGCTGTCATTTAGAGCAAAAAGTTTACAGTCACTAATCCATATGCTCCCAGGCATGTATGAATGTAGAGGTATTTCTGGGTGCGTTTTATTGAGTTTGTCTTTTACACAGTCTTATTTTGTGTGTTCTATAATATTGCCCCCTTGCCCAGCTGGTGTGGCTCAGTGGATTGAGCATCGTCCCATGGACTGAGAGGTCCCGGTTTGATTCCTGGTCGGGGCACGTGCCCAGGTTGCGGGCTAGATCCCCGGTGGGGGGTGTGCACGAGGCAGCTGATTGATGTTTCTCTCTCACATTGATGTTTCTATCTCTCTCCCTTCCTCTCTCTCTAAAAAAAAATCAATAAAAACATATTTAAAATATTTCCCCCTTAATCCTTTCCAGTCTAGTCTGTCCCTCTGTTACTGAGAAAATATTCAAAGTTCAAAGAAATGGAGATGAGAGTTAAGAAATTCAAATGCCTGTTCTTAATAATAGTTGCTTCATTGACATCATGCAAGTTAAATGGGGAGCAGAAGACCATTGTTACCAAATGCACACAATTCCCAGATGTGGCACAGGTGGGCGCCCGTGCATGTCCGCGGCTCAGTTCTCTGCTCAAACACTGGACTCCTGCTGATGTTTGACGACATGGTTTGGCATACCAGACCGCGTGAAGCTTGACGACATGGTTTGGCATACCAGAACCGCGTGAAGCTTGACGACATGGTTTGGCATACCAAACCGCGTGAAGCTTGACGACATGGTTTGGCATACCAAACCGCGTGATGTTTGACAACATGGTTTGGCATACCGATGTGCATGTGGGCAGATGCAGGGCAATTTGAAATTTCATTTCTCAAACATTGTTATCACATTTAAAATGTTTCCTACAAAATCTTAACTTTGAAATCTTCCTACAGCATCACATAGCTCCATAAATTTTACTAAAACATTTTTTTCAAAAAAAATCTGAAGGCAGAGACTAATGGAAGTGCCTGTTATTGCTGTGCTGGACAGGGTCCCCACCTGCCTGTTGTAACCCCTGCTGACCAGTCTCCCTCCCTCTGGACAGAGAATCCCTTTCTAGTCCATCTTATACCATTCCCTTCCCCATAAATTTATTTTCTGAAAACGGGGCTAGGTCCACTGCCCTCTCATGCTCACAATGGCCTGTGGCTCCTCATCACCTGTAGAGTCACAGTTTATGGGCAGTGTGTCCACTGCTCTTTCCAGACTCTCCTCCTATTCAGTCTGCTCCCCCATCACCCTCTCTTGATTCTTTGGACACACTGGCTGGGTCTGGGATTCCTTAAACAGGCCCCAAATCCTCCTTCCACCGGCTTGTATATAACCCCATGTCTGTGACACCCTGCTCCCTCACAGACTCCAGATGAGTTCCACCCTTCCTCCTGGCCCGGCCAGAATCTCAGCTGCCCCGCGCAGTGTGTAGTGTGGCCTGCTGGGTTACGTCCGTGCCTTGCGGGGGACTCCCTTAGCTAGCAGCGAGCTCCTGGCGGGGAGACGCAGCATCTTACTCCAGCCCTGGAGCCCCAAGCCTGGAGCTTTGTACACACTGGGCACTCACAGGTACTTGTTGAGTTGAGCGTGTCCCTCACAAGGAATCAGTGTAACCTTTATTTCTAAATTACTGTTGTTTTGAAAAAAATTACTTATAATTAAATTATGTCTTGATTCCCAAGAGTATATTTTTGTTAATCCTCACTCAAGGATATTTTTCCATTGTTTTTTTTCCAGATAGAGTGGAAGGAGGGAGGGGGAGAAAGTAACATCAATGTGAGAGAGACACATTGTTTGGTTGCCTTTTGCAGGACCCCAACTGGAGCTAGGGATCACACTTGCAACCCAAGTATGTGCACTTGACCGGGAACAAACCCTTGACCTTTTGGTCTGTGGGGCCACCAGGGGTGGGGAACATCTGGCCTGCTGGCCGAATCAGGCCCTCGAAATCAATACCAGCTAACGTCACATGCCTCACCAAATTAGCCTGACCAAATTAGCCTGACCAAAATTAGCAGGCTAAGTTTTAAGTTGATAATTTTGTATGGCCCGCGAATGATGTTATAAATATCCAAATGGCCCTTGGCAGAAAAAAGGTTCCCCATCCCTGCGTCAAGTCTAACTGCTGAGCCAAACCAGCCAGGGCCCAAGAATATATTTTTGAACTTAAATGACCTTGGTGTTGATCAAAACATGTACAGTTGGGGACAGGCTACTTGTAGATTCTGCTCCCAAAGGTAGCAGTGAAATAAGTAAGTGATTAGGTAACTGTACCTGTAATCCTTATATCTTAATTTTTCAGAAAGAAGTACATTACCTTAAGAAAAACATTTAGGTGAACTGTATAATACATACCCTTCCTCATGCTTGGCTTGGAAATGACAGAACTATCCAAGAGATGCTCTGTGTAGAACTCCTTTAGTTCGGCAGCTTCCTTCTTTATGCCCAAAAAGTTAAAAATGCCAGATATCGTGGAATCTATTTCTAGCACTGAATGGTTTTATAGCCATTTAGGTTAAATATTCACATACTGAAGTATTGATGTCTTTGTATGTTCTTCTAGCAAGGGAGAAATTTTAAATCCATAAAAGGCAACAAATGCAACCTTCTCAGAATGGCGACTGGCTGTTGGGGAGTCACCCCCACACCCCCCACTAAAGTCAGCCATGGCCCCACAGTGTTCAGAAGCTCATGTAACATTTCTGTGCAAATCTGATTCCCCACTCAGCCCCCACCAGGACCTTATGCTCTGTTTGCAGCACAGACCTCTTGGAAAACTACACACACAGACACACACACACACACACAGTGGTCCCTGTGGAATCCACAGAAGACCCATAAGGTTGTTTACACATGCAGGGACCCCCATCACCAGGGCCCCTGGAAATGCAAACATATAGTACAAGCTTAGATGAGATACACTATGCCCGGGCTCCCCTGAAATTGGTGGATGTAAGAACATCAGTGCCCGGCTGGTATGGCTCAGTGACTGAGCACCAAGAGGTCGCCGGTTCGATTCCCAGTCAGGGCACATGCCCAGGTTGTGGGCTTGATCCCCAGGGGGGGCATGCAGGAGGCGGCCAATCAATGTTCTCTCTCGTCAGTGTTTCTATCTCTCTTTCCCTCTCCCTTACTCTCTCTCTAAACTCAATAAAGAAAATCGATAAAAAAAAAAAAAGAATATCAACACCATTCAGTTTTCCTCCCAGCTGACACTATGACTTGGGGGAGGAGCCTCCCACGCAAAGGGAGAAGTGGATGGAAAAACCCAAGACCAAGGAATTAACATTATCTTCTCACATCACATCACTCTGACACTGACTTCTTCCACATTGTGATTCCATTGAGCCCAGCTGGATAATGCAGGATAATATTTCTGAAGGTCAGCTGATTAGCAAATTTAATCCTTCTGCAACCTTAATTGCCCCTTGCTATGTAACAAAATATAGTCAGCTTTTGGATATCTTGGGGGAGGGAGGGCATCTGCCTACCACAAATACTATGAACTCTTGTAAGCCAACAAACTAAATAACCTAGATGATATGGACAAGCTCCTGAAAATGACTAAAGGTAAAATACAAACTCTGAATAGGCATATAACAAGTAAAGAATTTGAATTAGTAAACAAAAACTTTCTACAAACAAAAGCCCAAACCAAATGACTTCACTTGTGAATTCTACAAGCATTGAAAGAATGAATACCAGTCTTTCACAAACTCTTCCAAGAAACAGAAGAGGAGGAAACACTTCCCAATTCATCTGATAAGGCCAACATTAGCCTGGTATCAAAACCAAATAAAAACATAAGAAAACTTGGCCCTGGCCGGTTTGGCTCAGCGGTTAGAGCGTCGGCCTGCGGTCCGGAGAGACCCAGGTTCGGTTCCCACTAAGGGCATGTTCCCCGACCCTGGTTGGGTTGTGCGGGTGGCAGCCACTCGATGTGTCCCTTTCATGTCGATGTTTCTCTCCCCCTCTCTCTCCCTCCCACTCTATCTGAACAAAAAATGGAGGAATGTCCTCGGGTGAGGATTAAAAAAAAACAAAAAATCATAAGAAAACCAAAGATTAATATCCTTATTAATATACACACAAAATTTTTCAACAGAATACTAACAAATGAATGTATCAACATATAAAAAGGATTACACATCATGACCATGTTGGATTTATCCTATGAATGCAAGGTTGGTTCAGTATATAGAAATCAATCAGTGGAATACCACATATTAATAGAATAAAGAACAAAAACTCCACAGTCATTCCAACAGATGTAGGAAAAGGCTTATGACAAAATCCAACACCTTTTCATGACAAAAAGAAAACTCAACAAACTAAGAATTGAGGGGAGCCTCGTCAACTGAATAAGGAGAAGCTGCAAAATACCTACTGCTGACGTCATACTTGATGAAAGGCTAAGAGCTTTCCCGCTAAGAGCAGGGACAAGACAAGGATGTTTTGTTTCTTGCTACTTCTTTTCAACATTGTACTAGATGCTCTAGTAAGGGGCAGGGGGAGGCACCAGTTTGGAAAGGAAGAAATAAAACTATTTCTAGTTGCAGATGACATGTTCTTGTATATGGAAAATCCTAAAGAACACACACACACACTATTAGAGCTATTAAGTTTAGTGAGGTTGCAGGATACAAGATCAATATGCAAAAATCAGTTTTATTTCTATACATTAGCAATGAATAATCAAAACATGAAATTTAGAAAATTCCACTTACAATAGTATCAAAACGAATAAAGTACTTAGGAATAAATTTAACCAACGAAGTACAAGACTTATATACTGAAAACCACAAGATAAAACACGCTTGAAAGATATTAAAGACCTAACTAAATGGGAAACCGTCTGTGTTCATGGATTGGAAA